CTCTATTTATAGATGAATAAACGGAGGTCCAAAAAGAGGAATAGAGTGTAGGACTCATAGACATCACATGGGGGTTGAGGCAGACAGAAAGCTGGGTTGACTCTTTCTGGTCCACTGTTCTTGCCACTCAATAAACATCATTTCAACAAGTACTTACTAAGTACCTCCAAACAAAACAAACCTACAGCCTCTGCCCTCAGGAAGGTTAGGAAATCAAGCTGCCACATTTAAAGAGAGTGAAATAGAGCTACACTGTGCCCCAATATATAATTTATATGCACTTTTCAGATGCTAATAACATGTCAGTAGAGATTGCCAGGGTTTTTAAGTTGTGTATGACAAGGATGTTAAAAGACAGAATGTGTGCACTAGTTTTTGTTCACACAGCTAAAGGATCCAACCTTACATAAAGCAGAATGTTTCTGAAGGAATTATGAGGGCTTTCTTTTTTCCCACGAAGCCAAAGCAATGGACATTGTCTACTTAAAAACATTGATGACAACATCATGAATTTGTTTTTGGATCAAATTTTAACTTTTAACCAGATGCTCCCTGCTGCAAGATTATGTGAATGTGAGACATTTCCCCCACATCTATTTTCTGGAAGATGAGTGGATCAGAGACTTAACAACATTCAGCTTTTACCAGATGGGTGTAGGGGAGTCTTCTAAAGGACCCTATGTGCTCCCAAACCAAGAACACCGCAGAGCCTGGGCTCCAAGTTGAAACTGTCTGTGCTAGTAGCAACTATACAGAATGCATGCTGAGCTCTGTTGAAACCCTTGGTGTTGGTGGTGGGGACTGTGTCTTCAAAGTCTATCAATTCTGCTTGTTAACAAAATATATGGATAAAGAATGCCAACATTCGATCAGATACTCTGATATGATTATGAAAATATTTCCAAGAAACATGAAGTGGAAAAAACAAATTCATAACACAATGTATTTCATAGGAACCTGTTTTTATAAAAACACTATTAACAAAATGACAACATATGTATATGCATAGGTATCTATGTGGAAAAATCATGGAAAAAGAACTTCTCTGGTAGAGGAAGGAGCTCTCATGGTCCAATGGTTAAGTAACTCAGTTTGCTAATTGAAAGGTCGGCAGTTCAGACCCACCCAGCAGCTCCGTGGGAGAAATATATTTCTCTGTGGGGCTATATATTTATGTATCATTTGAGTATTTTATAAGAATGTATCAGTGTACTGCTTGTGTAATGTATGTAAAATCTTTTAACTAAAAAAAAAAATCAAACAAGTCGCAAAACTTTGCATTCTTACAAAATTAGAAGTTCTACATTTACATGACATATTTGTCATGGCCTAGTTGCAATTGTCCTTTTCTTTATTTGAGGAAGACAGAGAGAAAGAAAGCAACTTAAGTTGCTTAAAGCTTTGCTCGGACATCACCAAGCATCAAAAAAGATGGAAGATTATGAAGTAATGCTTTAATGAACACCCAAGAGCTTACCCTGCAAAACACATACTTTTCTACAAAGTATAAAATAGATCGGACCACTATCTATTTATCTGGGGAACTGCTGTTTGAATCTATGTCACCCGTGTCACATCATGCATTCATCAAATTAATATTTATTGAGTGTCGACTGTGTGCCAGACCATCTTTATCTTATGAGAGCCACTTGGAATTTCATACAGAGTTAAATTAAGTAGGTGGTAAAGCTAGGCATTGGTATTTCCCAGAAAAAGAAAAAAAAATACAGACGTCACTGAAAAAGCATTTTCTTATCCTCCAGAATCTAGTATGCTATAGTGTTTATTGCTGTTTATTATACTCATTTGCTTGGACATCAGGCTGCCCTGTTGGACTCTGACTTTCTTGAAGGAAAAACTTAATGAATCTTTGTATCTGTGGTGCTGTATCTCAGCTTGAATTTGCAATATAGCGGCAGGCATATACTCTGTCATTCGGTTAGTCTACAAATGCTTATTTAGCATCTACAAGGTGTCAAGTATTATACTAGGCCCCTGGGATACAACATGAAAGATACAGTATGCTTTCTAGTTGGGGATCAGAGAAGACAGGTCACAACAATGTAAAATAAAAATTTCAGATAGTAACAAATTCTGCGAAAGAAATAAACTGGGCTGATGATGGGCAGGAGGCTACTTTAGATAGGGTGGTTGGAGAAAGCCCTCAGATGACATTTATACTGGGAACTGAGAGATAAGAATGAGGCAGCTCTGCAAACAGTCAGACAGAAGTGTTCCAAACAGAAGGAACAGTCGCTGAAAAGGTGCTGAAACCAGAAAGAACTTGATCTGTTCTAGAAACAGAAAGGAGGCCAGTGTGACTGGAACAGAGAGAACAAAGAGAGGTTGGCAAGTCAGAGATCCAATCCTATGGGAAGACAAGAAAAGGTTTTAAATAATGGTGTAATCATTCACTTTTTTTTTTTTTTTTAATACTTAGGCTGCTATGAGGACAAGGGACTGTTAGGAGGACACAAGTAGAATAGAAGGATACCAATTAGAAAGTTATTTCTTGGATGGATGGAAGGAAAGAAAGAAAGTAGTGAATGAGCAAGTGAGTTATAGTTTGGTTACAAAGCAACAGGCTTACGAGAGTCATTTGACCTGGATTTTTAGCTTACACTGGTTCTTAAATAAAAATTTTTAAAAATATATCTTGTGTTAAAAGAAGATCGCTGGAATAAAAACTTCGGTTTTCTAAAATGACTGCCTTGAAAAAGGTAGCACACATTTAGCTATACACTTACGAGCATATTTGTTTTAAAAAATGTATTATTGTTTTATAGTCATGTTACTTCATACAGGATCATACTCTTTGATACAGCAATTCCATACCTAGAACTCCATGCTCTGGAAATTCACAAATTCACGTAGGTTTGAAATAGGAAAAACAACCCTAAATATCTATCCATAGCGAAATGGTTCAACAAATTATGCCCATTTGTTCTACTTAATAACTACATCCAAAACCAAACCCGTTGCAGATGAGTCGATATTGACTCACAGCAATCCTACAGAACAGAGTAGAACTGCCCAATAGGGTTTCCAAGGAGTGGCTGGTGGATTCGAACTGCCGATCTTTTTAAAAAAGGGGCTTTATTTCCTATATTCTTGTCTTAGTTATCTAGTGCTGCTATAACAGAAATACCACAAGTAGATGGCTTTAACAAAGAGAAGTTTATTGTCTCACAGTCTAGTAGGTTCCAAGTCCAAATTCAGGGCATCAGCTCCAGTGGAAGGCTTTCTCTGTCGGCCCTGGAGGAAGGTCCTTGTCATCAGTCTTCCCTCGTTCTGGGAGCATCTCTGCACAGGAGCCTCAGGTCCGAAGGATGTGCTTTGCTCCTGGTGCTGCTTTCTTGGTGGTATGAGGTTCCCATGTGTCTCTGCTCGCTTCTCTCTTTCATATCTCAAAAGAGATTGGCTTAAGACACTATCTAATCTTGTAAACCTCATCAGTATAACTCCCACTAATCCATCTTATTACATCATAGTGATAGAGTTTACAACACATAAGGAAATCACATCAGATGATACAATGGTAGACAGTCATACAAGACTGGGAATCACGAACCAGCCAAACTGATATACACATTTTTGGAGGGGACATAATTCAATCCATGACAATTCTGACATGAACTAATATCCTTCTATAAATGGTGGGAAAAAGTAAGTTTCAGTGTGTGTGTGTGTGCGTGTGTGTGTGTGAGAAAGAGCACCAAGAATGGCCTAGCAGTGTGCTCTCTAATATTAGAGCTACCACCAATATGGGGCTGTCGAGCACTTAAAATGTAGCTTAGTCAGAACTGAGATGTGCTAGGAATGAGTCGGAATTGACTCGAAGGCAACGGTTTTGGTGTTTTTTTTTTTTTTTGGTTAAAATATAAAATACACACTGAATTTTTAAGGCTTAGAATAAAAAAAATGTAAACTTTCTCATTAGTAATTTTTATATTTATTTCATGTTCAAATGATAATACTTTAGACATACTCAGTTAAATAAAATACATTATTAAAATGAACTTTACTCTTCTTTTTACTTTTTTAAATGTGACTAGTAGCCAATTTTAAATTTTATTGTATTTCTTTAGGACACTGCTGGTCTAGAAGGATATAATACTGATGACTCTTGGAGAGTGGGATTGGGGAGAAGGGTTTGATGGGGAAGAGAGGAAAGGGTGCTTTCAGCTCTAACTTAAACTCTTCTGTATTTTTCAAAAAAAGCATTTAATTCCAAATTTTAAACTGAATAATAGGAATCCAAGTAAAATCTGTAGTTTAGTTAATAGTTTTGTACCAATGTTACTTTTTGAGTTTTGATAAATGTAGCATGGTTATGCAAGCTGTTAATATTAGAGGAGACTGAGTGAGGGGTATACAGGAATCTCTGTACTATTTTAGCAACTCTCCGGTAAATCTAAACTTCATTTAAATAAAAAGTTTGAAAAATACCAATAAGGGAGAAAACCAGTGACCCAACAAGCAACCAACAAGATACGTATCTGCTGCTTAAATAGTGATTCTCATTCAGGGTCTCAGCATACCATAAAGCAACTAGCTCCAAATACCCCCACTCGGAGTATCCCTTATAAACACATTTGCGAATGAGATAACTAAAGGGGACCTGGTGGAGCAATGGTTAAGCACTTGGCTGCTAACCAAAAGGTTGGCAGTTCGAACCCACCAGAGGAACCCACCAGAGTCGTCACGGGAGAAAAGACCTGGCAATCTGCTCCCATATATGTTACAGCCTAGGAAGCTCTATGGGGCAGTTCTACTCCGTCCTATAATGTTGCTATGAGTCAGAATTCAACTCGACAGCAATAGGGTTGGTTTGGGAACCCATGTCAAAAGGAGTCCTGGTGGCAAAATGGTTAAGTGCTCCCTGCTAACCAAAAAGTTGGCAGTTTGAACCCATCAGCTGATCCTCGGGAGAAAGATGTGGCAATCTGCCTCCATAAAGATTTACAGCCTTGGAAATCCTATGCGGCAGTTCTACTCTGTCCTATAGGGTTGCTATGAGTCGGAATCTACTCTACAGCAATTTTTTTTTTTTAATCCATATAAAAGCCCATTCCTGCTCTAACTACTCTGAGTAGCTGCCCCTGGGTTGGGTAATGAAGCACCCATCCAAGTTCAGTGTAGTCCAATACCCATGTGAGCCAATTATCTTCAGAAAATGTGGAAACTGCTCTGTGAACTTGGACAGCACCTATAAAACCAGTCAGCTGACACATTTCATAGTTTTTGAGAAAGATAACAATGAGCACAAAAATGAAGTGGTTGGATCTGATGGCATGAGATTCCAAAGACTTGAAAGGTAACACCCAGAGTTGTCAGGGCCGCTGCCAGTCGCTGATGTAGCAGTAATACTCATCTGAATCCTCCACTTCATAAACATTCTCCTCAATGGTGTAGATGTTTTCCTCTGAGTGCATCCCTGCTGCTACTGCATTTACGAACCCTGAGGGAGGGAGGTTGGCCATAGAGACAAGGCTGTGGAATGGAATACTGCAGTTCAGTTAGCAATTCCCAAGGCAATATAGAGAATAGGCTTTGCTGAATACGTACAGCAACCAAATGCAGTAGGTGATCCTTGATTGGATTCTGACTGGGGAGAGGGAGGAAATCACCAAATAACAATAAAATTATTTGGGGAATGACTGAGGAAATTTGAATTAATGTTAATTTTCTTAGGTATAAAAATGGTATTGTGTTATCTAGGAGAATATCCTTATTCCTAGGAGATGCAGGCTGAAGTGATTAGGTGAAGTGTCAAAACTTCTTTACAAATGGTTCAGAAAAGAATTATGTAGATAAATTCAGAAACAGATAAAGCAACTGTATCAAAATGCCAACTGGTGAGTTTAGGTGAAGGGTCCTATTGTTCCTTCCATTGTTATTTCAATTCTTTGGCAGGCTTGAACAATTCCAAAAGGAAAAATAAAAAGAAATGACTATGCTATGGATCCAGTCAGACTTGAGTTTAAATTGTGAACCTGTCACTTACCAACTATATGACCTTGGATAAGTTAGATTTTTTTTTTAATTTATTCATTCAAGAAATATTTTATTCATTCTTTCAAGAAATATGAGTATCTTTATTCATTCAAGACATATCCTGCTGTTGTAGGCAGCTGGAGATACAGCAGTGAACAAAGCACACAAAAATCTCATGGAAGTTACATATTACTAAACTTTGTGCCTCAAGGTCCTAATCTGTAAAATGGGACTAATAAGAGCTCCACCTCACAGGGCTGCTGTGAGGTGCATTGATTCATTTAATCATCAAATATGTATCAGGCTCTGTGCTGGTGGATTCAATTAACACATCAGACAAGTTCCTAATTTTCTGCAGTTTATAATTTATAAAGATGAACATTAGTCAAATAATTTTTATTATCTGAAATGTTACCTATGAATATTAGTACATTTTAATGTTTCTGCTCTAATAATGAATATTGACTTGGATAATCTGAAACCATCGATCATTTGACTTCCTTAATGCAGACTATTTTGTCTTTATAGTTATAACACATTTTCCTTAATCTAAAATTTTAAAATTCTTACTAGTTTAGACAGCATTCAATCGACAGTCATTTTTTTATTGAGATACATTGCATTCTGCCCATGTACCAAATATCACTAAGATCTAGCAAAAATCATGAAAGTTATGTCTATTTGGAATGGATGTGTGTGTACATATATACGTACATAGTCAGGAATGGAGACTGAGGACAGGAATATAATAGACCAGTAGTTCTCAACCCTGGCTGCACATTGGAATCACCTGGAGAGATTTTAGAACAACATCTAGCCTGAGCCTTATCCCCAGAGGATCTGATATAATTGCCCTGAGATGGACCCTCTGTCGGGATTTTACATGTCTCAGGTGATTCTAGTAGGCAATCAGCATTGAGAGCACCTGGTCTGGGCTGTAAATGTCCTGGGAGTAGATTCTGTGTTTCTTGTTCACTGCAGTCGTAACCCCAATGCCCAGCGCAGAGCCTGGATATGGCAGGTGCTCAATCAGTTGAAAGTTCAGTTCATTAAAAAAAAAAAATTAATATAGAGATAAGTAAGCATTTCCTATTAATGGGGAGATAAATTCTATGCCCTAACTTAAGAACTGGAGGCACAGTGGTTAAGAGATACAGCTGCCAACCAAAAGGTCGAATCCACCAGCCACTCCTCAGAAACCCTATGGGACAGTTCTACTATATCCTATATGGTCACTATGAGTTGGAATAAACTCAACAGCAACAGGTTTTGTTTTTTTTTTAACTTTAGAACTGAGAAAGTTAGAGGGATCAGGAAGTAAACAGAGTATGTTGAATTTGCATTTCATAATCCAGGCTTGGGCAAAAAGGTAGTACTGTATATACTCAGATCTCAAAGCCCCAAGGCAGGACTTCTCAGAGCAAAGACCAAAGCACATTAGAGTAGGAGCATTCAAGATTCTCACCTTTCCCCACCCCACCCCACCCCACCCTACCCTATCATCCTTACCTTGAGTTCTGTAGCTTCTCTTTCTTATGAGAATACCCTAGGTAAAAGGGGGAAGAGAATCAATAAAAATGCTTCCATAAAGGAAATATGAGATAAATAAAATGGACTCACTGGAAGGAAGAGTTGTTTTGGGAAATCTAGTCTCACCTTAGATTGAATTAAATCTAACTCCCAATGTGTGTCTTGGTTTATTACATGACCATGCTAGAAAGTAATTAAGATGCATTTCTCTTATTCAACAAGTATTATGAAGCATCTATCATGTGTCTGGTAGTTTGCTAGGCACTGGGGACACAAAGGTGAATTATAAACCCTGACTTCTTAAAGCTTGTGTTCTAGTGGAGGAGACATGCTTTTTAAAATAATTTTAAAAACAGTGAGTAGAAAAACTAACTTCATAGTGTGGTGTGTTATGAAGGAAACTAACAAGGCACTGGTAGTAGAGTGTGGTCAGGGAAGAACTCTCAGGGGAGGTGCCCTTTACACTCAGTTATGAAAGAAGAGAATCAGTCAGCCACATGAAGAGCCAAGGGAACATTCCAAGTAGACAGAACCCCTGATAAAGAGCTTGGTGGGGACTTGCTGGAGCGAGGGAGTGGCCCAACATAAGGTCTGGGAGGTAGATGAGGCTAGATCTTTCTAAGCCATAATCAGGAGTTTAGATTTCATTCTAGGACCAACAGAAAACCGTTGAAGGGCAGAGATATGATCTGATTCGTGTTTTAAGAAATTGCTGCTATTTTGAGAATGGATAAGAAAGAGGAATAAAGAAATGAGAGGATACATTAGAAAAAGATGATGGTGCCTTGGAATAAGGTAGTGGCTAGGAGAGACATAGAACAGTAAATAGATTTTAGGTATATTCTGGAGAAAGACTTCAGGAGTTGAAGGTGGATTGTGTGTTTGGAGTGAGAAAAGAGAGGATTCAGGATGATCTGGCTTTAGCAACCAGATGGATGGTGGTGGCACTTGCTATGATGGGGAAGACCAGGGAGTGAGAGGTTAGGTTGTGGGAAGGTTAATTATAGAATCTAAAATTCAATTTTGGACATGGTAAATGTGTGATACATCAAAATGGAGATGTCAGTCAGACGGTTGGATAAGCAGTACCAATACTCTAAGAGGTGGAGAGAGAAATTAAAGATGACATTTAAATCCATGGGAACATATGTCATAACCTAGAAGGTGTAGAGAAAGGAAAAGATCCATCCCTGAGGAATCTTGACGTCTAGATGTCAGGCAGAAGAAGAGGAAATAGCAAAGATGACTAAAAACGAGTGGCCAATGAAATAGAAGAGGAGCGTTTCTAGACTTATTAGAATGAGAGGAGTCAGCTTGGTCAGATATTACTGAATGACTGACTATAATGAAGACAGAAGTGTCTATTAGATTTGACAAAATGGAGGTTATTGGTGATCTTGACTAGAAATACTTCCAAGGTGTTTCAGGGAAGCTAGATTAGAAGCTAGATGATGGAGGGTTGAAGAGTACAGGAATGTGAGTAGAGACAACTTACTCAAGAAATACGCCTGTGACAGAGAGCAGAGAGATGGAAGAAGCCAGAAAGAATGTGTAGACAGAACATGTTTTTATGCTAAGAGAAGCGATCCCACAGAAAGGGACAGATAGATAATTCAAGAGAAAGATATTATCTTAGTTATCTAGTGGGTGGCTTCACCAAATAGAATTTTATTTTCTCATAGTTTAAGAAGCTAGAAGTCTGAATTCAGAATGGTGGCCCTAAAGGAAGGCTCTCTCTCTCTTTTGGCTTTGGGGAAGGAAGTTCATTATCTCTCTTCAGTTTCTGTTTCTTAGTGCCTTGGAGATCTCATGTGCCATAGCATCTATTTTCCCCTATCTATGCGTGTTTGCTTGTTTAATTCGCTCTTTTATATCTCAAAAGAGAGTGATTTAAGACACACCTTACACTAGTACCGTATCATTAACATGACAAAGAAAACCCATTCCCAAAATAGCATTATAATCACAGGTATAACCCATTGCCTTCAAGTGGATTCTGACTCATAGTGACCCTATAGGACAGAGTAGAACTGCCCCATAGGGTTTCCAAGTTGCAGCTGGTGGATTTGAACTGCCAACCTTTTGGTTCATTGCCAGTACCTCTCAACCACTCCACCACCAGGGCTCCAAATCACAGATATAGGGGTTAGATTTTACAACACATATTTTTAGGGGACACGATTCAATCCATAACAGGGATAAAAGAGAGGATAAAGTCCTGGCTAAAGACTAAAGATGCGAGATGGGATAGGCCTTGGATACTTCATCAGTTGAGAGAGGGGAGAAGGAGGATCGAATTATAGGGAAGTGTGGATGGTCATCTCAGAGAGTATACTAGAAAGTCATAGTAGAATTCCTGGGCATTACTGAGTGCCAATTTGTGCTTTTTGAGGTCATAACTTAAAAACCTGTCACCTTGCCTATAAGATTTTCTCCAGCAACTTCTAGGGAAAAGATTGTAAATTAAATAGGACTTTCCCATCTGTTCTTCCAATTAGCCATGTTTTTGTAGTAATATACATGCAAAGCCTTATATTTCTCCTACTCCTATTATTTTCTCTTCAAACTCCCTTGCACAAAGTAGGATGGCCCCTAATGTCTGTGCATTGGCAGAACTCAAGAAGGTAATGAGCATCATAATTGTTTCTGAGCAATCCCTAGACTTCACATTCATGTGATTAATCAACAAATTCTACTTCTATCTCTAGGCTAAATAAATAAATAAAACTAGTTGCTGCCAAGTCGATTCTGACTCACGGAGACCTCACATGTGCAGAGTACAAGAGCTGTACTCCATAGGGTTTTCAAGGCTATGACCTTTTGGCAGTGGTGTCACTAGGGTTGGTGTCACCCAGTGCGGTAACTCATGGTGTCACCCCCCCCCCATGTACCTCCTCCCATACCAGACCATACAGAATCCTTAGTAATGTTTTTTGTGCTAATGTTACTCGTAAATCGCAATTCCCATATATCACTCCTACTTTTCCTTTAATTACTACCTCATTCTCAAAAATAGTTATTAATATAGGTTCACAAATTCTAATTACCACAACTGTGTAGCTAAAACACCAGAAAACTTGACAAAATCAGTGACTATAAAAACACCGACAGCAAACAAAACAACAACGTGTGTTTTAGCGGGTACAGATGAAACCACATGATTTGAAGTGTCACTGTAATTGGGTAGTAGTGACAGCTCTGACCGGAGTGCATTGGAAGGTTCAAAAATTAAATTAGCATAGAGTTTTAGCCTTGTAGGTATATTGATACCTGTAAGCTGGGCTTATAAAAAATGTTTTTATTGTTATAACTAACTATGGGGATATTTTTATAAAAAATAATAAACTTCTGCTGAAACACTGCACAAAATTTTATAGACAGTCATTTTGGTATCACCCCCCATGCCCCCCAGTGACACCACTGCTTTTTGAAAGTGGATCACCAGGCCTTTCTTCCAAGGTGCCTCTTATGGGTTTGAATGGCCAATCTTTTGGTTAGTAGTCCAGTACTAAACCAGTTGCACCACCAAGGGACTCCCTATCTCTAGGTAAACCCAGGTTAAGTGTGGGCAGGGCAGTTTCTTTCTTTGAACAATCCATTTGTCAATAATGACAGAATATCAACGGTGAGGGCCAGGACAGCCCTGGGTTCAAATCCCGTGTTCATTAATTCACTGTGACTTTTGGTAAGTTACTTAACTTTTCAGCATGTCAGTTCCCCATTCAGTAAATTAGAATAATATTAGTATCTATCTCATATGGTAGTTACAAGGAATTAATGAGCTGATGCTCATAAAGCACTTGGCTGCTTCAGGCCAGTTAGAGTGGCCAACCCCTCCTGGTTTGCCCTGAACTGTCCTGGTTTTAGCACTAGGAGCCTCACATCTCAGGGAACCCCTCAGTCTTGGGTACCCTACACAGTGCATGTTTGAGTATTAGTAAGAAATGATGCAATAATGTTCTAAGCCCTGGAAATACAAGGCCCTGGTCTCTGCCCTCAAAGAGAAGGGAATATATCACAACTACAAAAGTGTGTGAGGCTCTTGAGGTGATTGAAGTGTTAGGATCTTGATTGTGGTGATGATTTCACGGGTGTAATCATCAGTCGAAGTTTAGCAAATCATATACACTTTAAATATGCAGTTTATTAGACATAGTTTATACTCGAAGGGAGCCCTGGTGGCACAGTGGTTAAAGAGCTCGGCTGCTAATCCAAAGGTCAGCAGTTCAAATCTACCAGCTGCTCCTTGGAAGCCCTATGTGGCAGTTCTGCTCTGTCCTATAGGGTGGGTGGGTCGCTATGAGTCAGAATCAACTCAACAGCAGCAGGGTGGATTTGGTTTTTTTGGTTATACTTGAATTTCCTTTTTTTTTTTTTTTTAATAAAGATAAGTAACTTAGAAAAAAAGTATGTGCTGAGTTGACTGCCATTATGGACAAAAACACAAACACTGTAACCCTGGCCATAACCGGTGTTAAAGGGTCTTGCTACCCCTCTCTAAGGAGCTATGCCTAAGAAACGAGTACGATAGAAAAATGCACAGAAGTGGTTTTTGTTGTTGCATTTCCTAATAAACCTAGACATACTCATGAATTAAAGAGGTTACTTTTCTTAAAAGAGAACAGGTATTAAAATCAGACCGCCTGGATTTAAATTCTGGCTCTACCACTTCACTGACTCCAAAACCCTGTAAAAGCTATCTACTCTCTCTAACCTTACTTCCTCTGCTGAAAAATGGTGTTAATAATACTACCTATCTTATAAGAAGGAGCCCTGGTGGCACAGTAGTTAAATTGCTTGGCTGCTAACTGAAAGGTCAGTGGTCAGAACCGACCAGCTGCTCTGCAGGAGAAAGATGTGGTAATATGCTTCCGTAAGGATTATAGCCTTGGAAACCCTATGGGGCAGTTCTACTCTGTCCTATAGGGTTGCTATGAGTCGGAATCGACTGGACAGCAGTGGGTTTGGGTTTTGCTTCGTTTTTTATCTTATAAGATGGTAATGAGGATAAAATATATGTAAAACACTTAGCACAGTGCCTGCCTAATACATGGTAAGTGCTGAATAAAAGTTAGCTATTACTATTTCTAGGGCTTGGGAAAAGACTGTTATGGATTGAATTGTGCCCCCTCTCCCAGAAAATAAAAAGACATCATAAACCTCCCCCCACCAGTACCTGTAAATGCAATCTTGTTTGGAAATAAGGTTTTTGATGATACTATTAGTTAACATTAGGTAACATGAGGTCATACTGGAGTAGGGTGGGCTCTAATCAAATATGAGTGATGTCTTTATAAAACGAGGAGAAGAGACACAGAGAAATGGGGAAGATGGCCACATGAAGATGGAGGCAGAGACTGGAGTGATGTATCTATAAGCCAAGGAATGCCAAGGATTTCCAGGAGCCACCAGAAGCCAGGGAGAGGCAAGGAAGAATTCTCCCCTAGGGCGTTCAGGAAGAGCATGGCCCTGCCAACAGCTTGGTTTCAGGCTTCTAGCCTCCAGAACTGTGAGAGAAGAAATATCTGTTGTTTTAACCCACCAGCTAGTGGTACTTTGTCACAGCAGCCCTAGGAAACCAATACAGAGACCTGAAGAGTATTTTGGAGCCCTGGTGGCATAGTGGTTAAGAGCTCAGCTGCTAACCAAAAGGTCGGCAGTTCGAATCCACCAGCTGCTCCTAGGAAACCCTATGGGGCAGTTCTACTCTGTCCTACAGGGTCACTGTGAGTCGGAATCAACTCCACGGCAATGAGATTTTTTTTTTAAAGAGTATTTATTCCAATCACTTTTAGGTATAAATATAAACTTCTATTTCTACTTATATTTGTATTGGTTGCTATATGAACAGTTCCTTACCAGAAGGAGAGAGAAGCAAAGTCCGACAACTTACATTTGAGAATTAAAGCACCAAAGATGAGAACAAGAGCCAGCCCTGCAGAGCTCCCTATTCCGATGTAGATGGTTATTTGCGTGGTCACTGTAGGGTCTTGTAACTCATTAGCCAATGTGGATTTCTGCTATGGGAACACAAACAGAATTAAGCAGTAAATGATCAGAAATCAGGTGTGTACTCAGCCAGTCTTATGAGTTGTGGATCAAACCATCCCTTTCACAGCACACAGGATTGCAGGGACCTTGAAACCACCCTTAATCTGCTCCCTTTTAGACAAGCTTCAAACCATCCCAAAGAGATTAGCCTAATCTTTGAAGTTAGGAAGGAAATACAATGTGTCCTTTTGTGCTGTGGAAGGAGAAAGTGCTCTTAGTAAACGGACCCCCTCCCCCCACCTCTACCACAAAAACAGGTTCTAGAGTGGATTAGTGTTCATTCAAGAGCCCCTGGCATTGCCCAGGGATCTTCAGGAAGGTCTAAATTTGGTGTCTTGCAGCAAAATTCCTATTTTCTCAGAACAAGGACTTTGCAGCTAGACCATTCTGGGTTCAAATCCCAGCTCTGTCACCAAGAGCTGCATGACTTTGTAAAGTTATGAGAATTAAGCAACACAAAATATAAAGTCCTTAGCACAGGGCCTGTTACGTGGTAAATGCTCTGTCAGTGGTACCCGTTATTGCCATTGCTCTAACTAATTTGATTTTCTGATAACTGAGAGTCACTTAGAAATCACTTCTGTTTCAAAACTGTCAGCTCATGTTCCTCCTTTAGAACCAATAATAGTAAACACTTTTAAAACATATGTCAAGGAAATTAAATCTTCCATCTATTCATACACATTTACTGTGGGAATGCTATATGCAAAGTATTGTACATTAAGTATTGTGGCCAATGCTTGAGACAGTCCTTGATCCAAAGAAGCAGAAGACAAACACACAAAATGCTGAGTGTGGGTTGTAAATATAAAAATAGGAAATTGAGTGAAATAAATGCTGACTCCTGAATATGTCCTCAAAGAATTTTTAAGTCACTACCTCAAGCTTGCTTTCTAATAGTTTTTCTTTTTTATCTGAGAGAGTGGGGTACATGAAAATGGTGGTTGATTAAAGTATTGCTTTATTTATATTTAGATATATAACTTTTGGCTTAGCGTATTCCTCACAGGTGTCTTGTTTTACATAAAGAAAAGAATTTTAAAAAAAAATCATCTTTCTCCCAGGCATACTCAGTAGGGTTGCAATGGACCCAGGAAGAAACATATTCTAGGGGGTTGGCAAATCTTCGAATTCTCCACAGTGGTACACAGTTGTTAAAGTTGAAAATAGGGAAAAATGATAATGCTTTTTCTTTTTTTGGCCTTTTAGCACTTATTATGTGCCAGACCCTATTGCAGGCACTTAACAGGTATCAATAGCTCATTCCTTCCTTAAACAGCACTATGTAGTTTAGAACTGACATCATCAACCTTTTACAGCTGAGGAATGTGGAGGTCAGGGAGGTTAAGACACTTTCACAAGGACAAGGTGGTTAGAAAGGAAAGTTAAAGCCATACTTTCTTTTCATTAAGTTGAGCGCTATGTCAGCTCACAAATAGGGGGCTGGGGAGCAACTTACCGTTTGATTACAGCCATGGAGGGTCTCCCGTGTCTGTGTCTCTGCTGCAAATAAAGAGACACAGCCAACAGAATAGTGAAGAATGTTTTCTTCTATCTTGGTTTAAAACAAAGTAAACATCTTAAAGATGCCTATAACCCTCAAGATATACAGAACACATCCACTCATACTCTTCAAAATGACTAGCTGGGAGACCAAACAAAATTTACTGAACACTTATATTTAACATAGATCTTTAAAAGAATATTGACTCTATGGTTTGTTTTGTCCACAGGGCTCAAACGGCTCTACACAAATCCAACAACACTGACAACTCCCAGGCAACTCTAATTATATTCTAATTAGATTTTGAGAGACAACCAAAATTAATTTGAAAAAGTTCAACATGTTCTCTTTAGAAGGGAGGCAGGGTATTTTATTGCCTACAAAATGAAAATAATAGTAATAATTACAGGTACAATACACCATGAGCCAGGCATTGTGCTACACTTTTTAAGAGAAGGATCTCATTTAATATTCAAAACAACTATCCCCAAATCGAGTGTATTGGTCCCATTACACAGATTAAGAAGCTGAGAATTAGGGAAGTTAAGTGATTGACCCAAGTTCACACAGCTTAGTGAAGGACAGAAGGCATTCCAGTTTAGGTTCACACATGGCACTAAGCACACACCGATAACTCCACTGCCTTCCACAACCTTCACCTCAGTATCATCCATTGTCTCTTCTACTAAGAAGGCCATGTTGCTCAACTACAATTCACTATCTTCTCTTTTCATTCACTCATCTATGTCTTCATCTGCTTATCCATCCAATGAGTACATACGAAACCCCTACTGTATGCCAAGTACAGTGATGGGCACAGACCCTGACCTCATGGACATTGCATTCCAAAAATAAAAACCAGCTGCCGTCAAGACGACTCCAACTCATGGTGACCCCATGTGTGTCAGAGTAAACTGTGCTCCATAGCGTTCTCAGTGGTTGATTTTTCAGAAGTAAATTGCTAGGCCTTTCTTCTGAGATGCTTCCAATGGACTCAGATCTTGAATTTTTTGGTTAGCAGCCACACGTGTTAGCTATTGTACCCCAGGGACTCCACTCCAAAAATAAATGGGATGATAAAATAAATAAATAGGGTATCAATTGTGGGGAAATGAAGCATGCTTACTGATTTTTCTGGTTGTGTCAGAGACTCTGAAACTCTTTAAAGGTCACAGTCACCTTCTGGAGGCCTAAAAGTCTAAACCCTTTAATGTGTGCAAAGAATTTGACTAAGCAGTGGTTTAACAGACTATCTTAATATTACAAAGACATAGTCTCTGCCTAAAATTACTTTTTTTAAAAAAGGTAAAAGTTTAGCTTCCACTTAACCTTCACTCTTATTACCCAAAGGGGATTTAAGTATAAAAACCACATTGGGGAACTGCTTATTAAACAGGAAACTTTACATGAGACTTTCGAACGTAATTCCAGTTTTTGCTTCCCTGTAATTATTTTTTTTGGTCTCAATGGTAAGACTGACTTTTTTTTTTAAACTTCATTTTGCTGTGAAAATTATCAGTAAGATAGACATTGCTGGGCTAATGTGGCTTATTTTCACGTAGATTGGCCCATCAACCAAGATGGCTGGGACAGTTGGAAGACGGTGCAATGTTTTTCCTCAAGAACACAAGACTTGGCTGAGGTGGAGGTGGCAGTGGGGGTGGCATATGAAGGTCTCAAACGCATATAAACTTAAGTTAGCATTTATACAGCACTTATAATGTGCCAGACATAGTATTTTGCACTTAACGTGCATACTGTCATTTAATCCTCACCACAATGCGCAGATGCTATTATTTTTCCCATTTCTCAGATGAAGAAACTGAGCCTCAGAGGTACTTTTCCAAGATCACACAGCTATTAACTGGCAAAGCTGGGATTCAAACCAGGTCCAACCTCAGAGCTGAGAACTTACCCCCAACCCATTCTTCCTCCTTTGGGTGGAAGAAAGAGTGCATTTGTTCCGTGTTCAAGGTGGGTTTAAGAACTTCCAGGGTCCATAGAACTCTTACTTTTTAAGGGTCACTCCACTTCATATCAAACATATTAAATTCATCCACATCTCACATTAAATAAAAGGAATATATGTAAGAGTTAACTTGCAGGTGACTAATTGATATGTACATATTATGGACATATTATTAAATATTCATTAATTTCAAGTATTCATTTTATTTACCTATTTTGGAGCCATTGCCTTTTTTTGTTTGTTTGTTTTATTTTATTTCCCTCTGGTTTCAGATATATTCTCAGGCCTTTGAAAAGTTCAGAGATTCCATATTTTCCCCATATTTCTTGATGCAAGAGATGGCCCCATCCTTGTTGCCCTAGAGGAAAGGAACTAACAAGTAAAAACTAAAGGGAGGGAGACTTCTGGACAGCTATTTGTCTAATAAGGAAATGCACTGCTTTGTGAGGAAGTGAACTCCCCATCAGAGGAGGTATGTGAGCATACAGTGAATGCCCATTTCCTGGTGATGTTATAAGAGGCATTGAAGCACAGGCCACGTGGAACTAAATGACCCTTGAAGACCCGTCTAGGTCTATGGTTGTAATATTCTCTAAACTATAGCAAGGGAATACAATAAGCATTTGCTACGACCAGGAGCCCTGATGGCGCAGTGGTTAAAGCGCCTGGCTGCTAATCAAAAAGGTCGGTGGTTTGAAACTACCAGCTGCTCTGTAGGAGAAAGATGTGGCAGTCTGCTCCTATAAAGATTTACAGCCTTGGAAACCCCATGGAGCAGTTCTACCCTGTCCTATAAGGTTTGCTATGAGTCAGAATCAACTCAGCAGCCATGGGCTGGGGTTTGATAACTTAATGAAGCTTCCCTAGGTGGCGCAAACGGTTTGCACTTGACTACTAACGTAACCATTGGCAGTTCAAACCCACCCAGAGATTCTGCAGAAGAAAGGCCTGGAGGTCTGCTTCCATTAAGATTACAACCTTGAAAACTCTAAGGGAGCAGTTTCACTCTCTAACACATGGGGTCATCATGAGTACATAAGTCAGAATCGACTAGACAGCAATGGGTTTGGTTTTTTGGGTATAACTTAATTAACCCACAATGTGGGTGATTATTAATTCCTACCATATTTATTAATTACACAGGAGATGTTGGCTATGAAACACTAAAGAACAACCAAAGACTGAACCCTTAGCTAAAGTTAATAAAACTATAATATTTGAATGTTTTCCGTGGGCCAGATATTATGCTGAGTGCTTCATGTGCATTATCACTTTTAATCTTACAACAGTCCTATAAAGCAGGCACTGTAATAACCCTCATTGTCGAGATGAGAAAACTGAATCTCAGAGAGTTTGAGCAACTTCACTTAGTTCACACAGCTAGAAGAGCTGAAATTAGTATCCATTCTGCCTGTCACTGAAGTACCTTAACGGCAATCCCATTCTGCCTCTTGATTTTTACTGATGATATTAATGATAATGGCTAACATATACTGAATACTTACTATGATCAGATCCTGGGCTAAGTACTTAAGACACACTTTCTTATCAATTCTCACAGAAATCTTAAGAGGTGGGACTTATTATTAACTTCATTTTAACAGAACAAAAGATAGAGCTCCAGAGAGTTCAGGAGAGACCCAGACTCTGACAGAAAATACTTGAGATTAACCTCCTTGATGAATGTGCCCCAAGGTCTGCTCTTTCTGCCCTATTTTCTCTTCCAGAGCTGAACAGGAAAGTCCTTGCTGAATTACATGAAAAATTTAGCTGCTCCTTTTCAGGTTGAAATCCAAGGAAGCTAATAGGTTTTATTCCAGTTGGAAGGAATTCTAGAAATCACCTAATCCAACCTAGTAGTCCCCAAAGGCTGGTCCAGGGACTAGGGCCAACTCATGATGAAGCATCATCAGTCCAGGAGTAAATCAGAAAACTAATGACAATGTAATGAGTTTTTCATTAGATTAAATTTATTTAATTTAAAAAAAACTTTTTTTTTTTTTAATGGAATGATGGCAAGCTATGTTACAGAGTAGAACTGTTCCATAGGGTTCGTTTGTTTTGTCTGTAATCTTTATGGAAGCAGATTGCTATGCCTTTCTTCCACAGTGCCACTGGGTACTTTTGAACCGCCAATCTTTAGGTTGGTAGTTGAGCATAAGCTAAATAGAAGGTTGGTTTTTTGTTTTTCCTTATTTGTCAGAATATGTAGATCACCAAAATTCTTTTTGGTGGGTGAAAAATTTTACTTGCGTCTTAAAGTCAAAAGTCTCTGAGCCCACTGCTTGGACAGATGTGGAAACTGAAATCCAGAGAAGTGAAATGCCTTGGCCCCGGTCACAAGGCTAGTTTGTCGCCAGGGGCAGATTACTCAATAAGCAAGCTAAGCACAGCCTTATTTGTAAGTTCTTACTAATATGCAGTGAACAATTTCACATGGTTTTCACACAGATCAGTAAGTCTGCACAGCATATAGTGTGACAACCATGTGAAGTTGTTTACTACAGATTAGAAAATACATACAAGTAAGGCCGTGCTGCATTGCTTACTGGGTAATCCTTCCCTGTCAGGGACTGTAAACTTGAAAAGAGACCTTGAATCTGTAGGAGAGTGCTGTGGGGTTGGGACAGATGCCAGTCATATCTAGAAGTAGAATCTTTGATGAGGTGAAAAAACGTGAAAACTGTTCACTACAGATTAGTAAGTAAGCACAAGCCCTTGCTTGCCTCGTTTATTGGGTAATCTGCCCCTGTTTGTGGCTAATCCAGAATGATAACCCCGGTTTCCTTTTCTCAGCACAGGTTTGTTTCCACCACCTCTTTTACCTCAAACACTAGCCTCATCTGTGTCTCAGTGCACAGAAACATACATGCCTCCACCCTTAAACTGTTTTCTCTTCTTTTTCCTTTGCTTAAAATCCTCTGAGCTCAGAAACTGGCTAGTCTTCGTCCTAAACCCTGTATATAATTACCTGAGCCATGACCCTTGGTGGTGAGCATCCTCGGCACAGTTGCAGTGAAGTTCCTCCGAGGGGTCCGAGCTGTGGTGACCTTGGCTAATGTCAGAAACCAACATAAGGATGAGGCTTCTCTGAGAGCAGAGAGCTTGTTTCAGGGGATCAAAAGGGCAGCAGAAAAAAACATGAAACACAGCACATGAATAGAAACACATCCTCAACTTCTGAACCTGCCTGGGCACCTTCGGTGAGAATACATCACACATATAAAATGCTTGACAGAGGGAAGTTACAGCCATCATTAACAGTCTAATTGTTCATCATAATATTAATAGCTGCACTAACTGCCACACTCGGTAAAGTGCTTTGCATAAAGCATTATCTCGTTTATATAGACTTTCAACGGTCTAGAAGGTAGGTATTATTGTCCTTACTTTTGTTACAGAGGAAGAGGTTGGACTTTAACTTGCCCAAGATTACTCAGGTAGTAAGTGGCCAAGTTGGACTTGAACATGGCTCAGTCTGGCCACAAAGTACATGCTCTACAAATCTTAAAACTTACACATACGTGCACATACACGGTCTAGTGCTTCGCAATGCTGGCAGCACACTAGAATCACCTGGGGTAGACTTCATGAAATATCAGTGCTCAGACCCTACACCCAGAGATACCTATTTCCTTGGTTTGTGGAAGAAGCCAGAATATCCGTGTTTGTTAAAATTTCCACCAGGTGATTCTAACGAGCAATCAGGGTCTCCAACCATTAGTTAGGCCTTTCTTCTCATTCTGTAGATCTTATCAGTGGGCTTCAAAATATAGAGAGGGTATTAAATACAGCTGGACATCACTGGTGGGGCTTGCTAAAGTTTAGGTCTTGGGGGTCCATCCCCAGAGGCTATAATTACAGCACAGGTCAGGAGGTCCAGTCAGTATAGTCAATGTGACCCACAGATGAATCTTATGCATAAAGAAGGCCTGCAAAAGCCCACTCACCTGGTATGATGACCAACTCCAGGGCTAATTTTTGATCATTCATTGGGCCTGGGAATTGTACCCGGCAGCAGTAGGTCCCGCTGTCTGCTGAAGTCACCTTCTCTATGGTCAGGGACACATTTCCTACATGTAAATATCCCTTTAGCTGATATCTGCTGGATTTCTGGTAGTTGATGTGACTTCCATCAGTGCTGAGCACTGTATTATAACATTGTAACAGAGGACAGGATCCCTGGCCCCAGCAAACAGGCACGTGATTTACTGAGGCGGCTGGAGAGTAGAAGCAGGGCAAAACGGCATTCTGACCCACCTCGAATATGTATCGCCCTTCCAAAGATCCTGGGTAAAGAGCAGGGAGAGCAAGACCCAAGCAATGAGTGAGTTGAGGTCCACATCAGGAAAACTGAGGGCAATGCCTATTCAATAAAGAGGAAACCACACTGCTGTCCTGTGTGGAGGATGATTCCCTATGGCAGTGATTCTCAGACTAAGTGGGCATCAGAATTACTGGGAAGCCTCACAGTAAAATGCAGATTGCTCAGCTCGACCCCTAGAGTTCCTGATGCAGTTGGTCTGGGGTGGGGCCTGAGAATTTGCATTTTTAACAAGTTCCCAGGTGTTGCTGCTGTTGCAGTAGGTCACAGAATCACAGCTTAAGAACCACCCAGGGAACTATGGTCCAGTCCTCTGAACACCAGAGGAATGGGCTGATAGAATAAGACAATCAGGAAATGGGCCATTGTCGGCTAGGAAAAGGTCACCCCTCTCGGCTGCTTGTCTGTTCATCAGTGAACGACAGGTATCATCTCTTCATTTCTCAGCACCACGCACGCAGAGAATAAAAACACTTGGATTAGTAAAAAGCTTGTGTATCTAAAACCATTCACAGGCTGTTTCGAGGTGTAGCATTTTTTTTTTAAATAATACATAAAACCCTTCGCCGTCGAGTCAATTCTAACTCATAGTGACCCTACAGGACAGAGTAGAATTGCTCCATAGGGTTTCCAAGGAGCAACTAGTGGATTCGAACTGCCGACCTTTTGATTAGCAGCCAAGCTTTTAACCCCTGTGCCACATGTACATGGTAAAATGTTCAAACAGTATAAAAGGTGAACAATGAAAATAAGACTCCCTACACTACTTGTTCACATTTCTATCTCCTTTTCTAGAGTCTATGCATTAACAACCAATTGGTTTTGAGTCAATTCTGACTGATGGTGACCCCATGTGTGTAAGAGTGGAATTGTTGTCCATAAGGTTTTCAGTGGCTGATTTTTCAGAAGTAAATTGCCAGGCCTTTCTTCCAAGGCAGAAAGGAATTAATGTTAAACCTCAAAACAGCCTGTGAGTGGTTTTAGATACACAAGCTTTTTATTCAGCCACGTGTTTTTTGAGTCTGGGAGGACTCGAACCTCCAACCTTTCAGTTAGCAGTGAGTGCCTTAACCATTTGTACCACCCAGGGATCCTATACATTAACAAGGGTTCATGAATTCTTCACACATACAAACAGAAGTCTAATCTATGCATTATTCTGCTCCTTAATTTTTCCAATTAACATTATAACTTGGACACATTCCATACCAATATGTTTGGTCAGCCTCATTGTTTATATCATGTATATAAATGTATTTATAGTACAATGCATTCACCCACTGCCTCACTGGTGGGCATTTAGGTTGCTTCCAAACTTTTGCTATTACAAACAACGTTATGATTACTATCCTTGTATCTCTATCTTGCACCCCCTGTACCACACATTATCCATTTGTAAAAGTCCATGCTCAGACTTACTTGTAAGTAGTGGCAGCAGCAGCAGGACACAGTCGAAGGAGAGACGTGAAAACATGAGTTCTACAGAAGAATCGAGGATAGCCCTGTTTCGGTGCAGCTTTAATTTAATTCTCCAGTTAAACTGGGTACTTCCTCCAACTGTCTCTCTACTCCACAAAATCACACGAGAGATTATCTGTCTACTGATGATTCCCATATTAATGCTACCGAGTCTACAGTTACCTCAAAGGAAACCCCAGTTCTCGGTCATGCTTCACCACACATATCCTGTAACAGTCCTGATAGAATCAACAAAGAGGAAGAAACACTGCAGAGGAAGAAAAGTGTTATTCAGTCACAGCAAGTAGAGGCGGCCCTCTAATATCTCAGATAGAATAATCATCTGTCTAAAATGGACCACACATGGGTCCAGAGAGGTTCTAGGGAGCACAAATGCAAGCATATCACTCATGTATTCATCAGTCAAGCGAGTCAATCAGTCAGACATGTGACCAATGTTTATGGAGCACCAATGGCAATGGGTTTGGTGTTTTGGTTTTGACCATGTGTCAAAGGAGCCCTGGTGGTGCAGTGGTTAAGCAGTCAGCTGCTAACTGAAAGGTCGGCAGTTCGAATCCACCAGCCACTCCGTGAGAGAAAGATATGGCAGTCTGCTCCCGTTAAGACTTTCAGCCTTGGAAACCCTATGGGACAGTTCTACTCTGTACTATAGGGTAGCTATGAACCAGAATTGACTCAACGGTGACTGGGTTGGTTTTTTGGTTTACTATGTGTCAGGCACTGGAGTAGGAGCTAGACAATAGAGCAATGAATGATATATCCCTTATCCTCACATTTATGGACCCTTTCCACTCTAATCATGAGCCTAAATTCTTATCCTTATTCTAACACAAATTATGGTGTGTCATACAACCTTGCTTGGGCCTAGTTTCCCCACTTACAAAATGAGAAAATTGTGTTATATATGTACAACTTCGTGCTCTAATATCCTGACTTTGACCTGACATTTCAAACTCTTCAATTTAGGAAAGACACGTTCCTCTTTGCAATGTTTCTCTTCCCCTACTTTGGGTAGAATTGAGGGGACCTCAATATTTTATTTTATATCATGTAAAAGAGGTTACCCCTCTCCTCTGACCACCAGGGGCTGCAGGCATGAATTGTCAGAAGGTGTTGAGTTCCAGCCATGCCATCCATCTCTGAGGTATCGCAGATCCAAACAGTCTCAGGCTTGGGGAAGTGACTTTTGTCTGGATATCTTAAAAGCCAAAGCTTCTTTCCAAAAGAGAAGTAAGCTCATAGACTGAGTTGTTTCTTAAATCCCCGTGATCTTCCTCTATTTCTCCTTTTGTGAGTTTCCTTCTCACTCACTTTTATGCCATTAAACGCATTTAATGTAAATACCCAACTTGTTTAATGTAAACAAATGGCACTTAATACAAATATCCAATTTGTTCAGTGTGTGTACTTGGATAGCATCACAGAGTTGGCAGCTATCCAAGAGACCATAGTCAATTTCCTCATTTTACAGACAGGGAAACTGAGACCCAGGAAGATTGATTTGCCCAAAGGCACATGATTGGTGATTTCAGATGAGAACGCAAGTCCCCTAAGCTCCAGACTCTTTCACTACAAACTATGTTGGATTTAACGTTTGCCCTTAATGTGTCTGATCACATAACTATGACAACCTGCACACGCCTATATACAAACATAAGGTAGACTGGATTAAATATGGGGTTAGGGGTCAGAAGATGGATGTGGGTTAAAGGCTCAATTCTTATGTGTTTTCTGACAGCATGACCTCAGGCAAAGCTCTTAAAAGCGCTACCCTCAGCTTTTGTGGTTTTCATTTGTGTATGTCTGTGTTTAAAATTATTACTGTGTTTTCTGTTTACCTCTAGAATTGCTACTGGGACCAGCTTTCTAAAACACTAGCAGTTTGTTAATTTACTAAATTTTAGATATGAAGGAACCTGGTGATTTACTGTAACCCCTTTCTGTATTTTCTCTGTGTGGAGGGCTCTTTTGGAACATTTTCATGCTCATTTAACTTTTATTTCTTGTTTATTAAAAAAAAAAAAAACACTTTAGATAATACCTTCAAATGCTTCAAAAAGTAAAGCAATATAAAACGTGCGTAATAAGAAGCCTTGGTCCCATCCCTTCCTGTCTATCCCATTTTCACTAACCATTCTGTAAGTATCCATTTTCATTAGTTTCTTGTGTATACTCCCAAAGCAAATGCAAGAAAATAAAAATATATATTATTTCCTCCTTTCTTAGACAAAGTAACATGCCATATATACTTTTTGCACCTTGCTTTTTCTTCTTAGTATTTTACCATCAAAAATTTCCAACATATACAGTGTAGAGACGATAGTACAATGAACCTTCAACTTCCTAATATACAGATTCAAAAATTATTAAATTTTTCCATATCTATTTCACTTATACCTTTTGTTTTTAACTTTTTCTTTGATGAAGTATTTTAAAACAAATCCCAGACATCATATCATTTCACCCTAAGACTTTAGTGTGCATCTTAAAAAAAAGGAACATTTTGCTACAAAACCATAATACCATTGTCACACCAAACAAAGTTAATAATGATGTCTTAGCAATATCTAACACTTCAGTCCATAATCAAATTTCCCTGATCATCTCACAAATGCTTTTTCACAATTGGTTTGTTTGAATCCAGACCCATACGAGGTCCCCACATTTATTAGTTGTTAGGTCTCTTAAGTTTCGTTTAATCTAGGACAGGTAGTTAGTGAATTTTAATCAGGTTAGGAAACAGGAAAACATGGGTGATATAGATGGGGTTACCTGAATAAACTCAGTCTATTTAGAACCTAGAATCCCTGGAAGAACCTAGAATCCCTGGGTGGTGCAAACGGTTAATGTGCTTGGCTGCTAACCAAAAGGTTGGAGGTTCAAGTCCACCCAGGTGCCTCGGAAGAAAGGCCTGGCAATCTACTTCTGAAACATCAGCCATTAAGAACCCTATGGAGCACAGTTATACTCTGACACACATCAGATTGCTAGGAGTCAGAATCAACACAGTGGCAACTGGTAGTTAGATCCTACCCTACACAATGGGGGAGCCGAAATAGAATGTTATTGGGGAGATAACCACAATTACCACTAAAGGTAGAGATCCTATGTGTACTTGATTCAAATCGATAATCCTTTCCTGTTTAAATCATGACACTTCAGTTAGGTTGCATGTACCATTAGTCCCAAAAGCTTGCAAAGGGAGACCCTGAGGTGGGATATTAAGGGTAAGAGGTTAAGTTAAGCAATTTTGAGCTAGATCTTCTGACTTCCAGATTACAGCTAGCCATGTGACTTTCCTTGAAGAGTGGTCATAACTGTGTATTTACATAGTATTTGAAAAACCTTTTTTATTGCACAAGTCATATTCACTGCAGAAAATTCTGAAAAACAGGATAATAATAAAAATCAAATAAAATAAAGGCCATAATCCCAGTATCATAAAATAACCACTGCAACAAAATGGGTATCCTTTCAGAGTTTTTTCTATGTAGTTCTGTACAGATACAAACATGTAAGTCATTACTAATGTCAGTACATCTTGTGGGTACATTGCCTGAAAGAAAGTCTCACTCCTGGACAATCGTGAACATCATGAACATATGTGGAAGGTATAGATACTTCTTTCCATTTCCCACCGAATCCCCTGTCAGTTCTTAACTCTTCCTCAGAAGGGAGGTAGAAGTACTTTCCTTTTTCTGGTCTCAGTGCTTTCAGTTGCACCAAGTCGCTTTTCACACTTTTGCCCTCCCCGCTAGGCACCAAGAGGGTCAATTCAGACCATGGAGATCCTGGATATATATGGAGGGAACGCCAGGGTCTTCAGAGCTTAAGAAAGACACAGTCACAAGACAAATCTTTCCCTTGCTATTGACCACTTCTCATAGCATCATCTTGGTGTGTTTTTGTGCTGGTTGTGGTATGTTCTTATACCAACGAAGTCTTCGTCTCGCACCAAAGACTCTGTACTATAAGAAGTATTTATGTTGCAGATGACAGAAAATTTCAACTCAAACTGGCTTAAACTGTAAATTTTTTGATTGATGTTATTAAAAAGTCCAGCTTCAGGCAAGACTTGATTTGATGGTCCTACTTTCTATCTAAAATCAGCTCTCAGCTGTCTTCAGCGCTGGCTCCTCCCTCAGATTCTACATAGTGCCCTCTCTCATACAGCTGCGGATCACATATCCTCACACCAAACACATCTCTTGGCTGCTCCCACACAGGTCCAGGAATTCACACTGTCACCGGTCCAAATTGGATCACCGACACATTCCTGAAAAATCATTGCATCTACAGGGTCAGAAAGCACTAATTGGCTTAGTCCAGGTCACATCCTCAAATCTCATGTACTGAAAGTGAGAGAAGGGTAGTTCCTCCAAAGAAAAATCAGGGTGTATTTCAGGAGGAGAAATGGATACTGGGCAGAAAAAAAAGAAGTCCGCTACAGACTCCCTCCCAGAAAGCACGTGGGGCAGGGAGTTGGGGAAAGGAAACCTGCTCAAACAAATATACTATGTTTCTTTTCTCAAATCGGAATCCACTAGAGGACAACAGTTCGTTTGTATTTAGAGGGCTTTTATATTTAGAAACTGTGGATGAATGCCAGAGATTAAGCTTGAGGTCACACTCAGGTGAGTACCAGAACCATCCTAGAGCCCTTCCCAGTGCTCTCTGTCCCACAGCCCAGAAAAAGCAGCCCAGTGAGGGGAAGTCAATGTTCTGAGATTCTGCAACATTGACTCAGCAAGTTTAACCTTCAGAGGAAATTAAAGCTGCTTCTCTTTAGAGTAGAAGAAACGGGGAGGAGCATAGAAATAATTTACCCTCAATAGGTTTGCCAGGCTCCAAGTGACAAAACTGCAAAGAGGTTCACCATCGAGAAAATTCTGCCGAGCTATGAGTAACTGTAAGAAATCCTGTCTGCAGGTCTCATCTTGAAAAAGCAGGTCCCACCATGTCCCACGGAGACCTCACAGGTGGTGGAGCAGTGGTCACGGTCACTCATTCTAAGCATGCTCTACTCCAGGTGCAGAGAGTTAAGTTAACCATACTTCTCAGTTCAGAGTGCACGCTCACTATCAGTGCCAGTGAGGTCCCTTTCTTGTTTTATTCCCTTTTACTCGGTTCATCTTTGTCTCTGACCCACATTCTCGTTTTTCTCTTCTCATAGGCATCCACTTTACAAAGTAATGTTCATCAGTTTTCCGAAGTGCTTATACCAGCTTACACTCCCACTGGAGGTGAGGAGAACTTTCGATAATCCATGTCAATATCGGTACTGTCAGACTTCTTCATTTTTTCCAATGCAATGGGTGTATAATAATGTCACCATATCTCCTTAAGGTTAAACTATTATTTAAAGGAAAATATAGCAGATGTAAAGAATGTTGCATAACCATAAATTGTACAGTT